CCAGGATCATGCCTTTTACTCTTTGTATGTCCCTCCACTGTATTGAGCAGAGGACTCACAAGATTTACTAAGGTTAGGGACTCAGATATTTGTTGAATGAAATTGAATTTATATACCCAAGACTGTTATGGGTTTCTTGGGACTCTTGCCTTTAATTTTCAGTTCCTCAGCCTGTATATAACATGAGAGAAACATGGTGGGAGGGGGAGACCACTGCAGAGCAGGGCTGGCAGCTCATCCTGGGGGTGGGAATGGGGGTGCTGCAATTTCTCTTAGCTCTTAATCCACTCACTGTTTATTTTTCCAGTGGTTTCACACTATCCCCATCATTCTCCTTCCTTTTATTTTTACTCTTTCTTCTTCCTACCCTATGAGTAAGACTCACCCTTAGCTCTCACCAGCATCAGCATCAGCTCTGATAATGGCAACCCCAAGTTACAACCCAATTCTATACAATTCAACTTAAAAACATGGTTAAATATTTACTGTCCTGGGTACTGCACATGGAAACAAACATGCATGAGATGCCTCAAATTGTTCCCTCCAACAGCCCATAGTCTAAGTATAGAGATGGGTATATAAAGAAAGTAATTATGAATTGAGAGTGAAGCAACATGAGACTTATCAGTAACCCATAGAAAGAAATGACTAACATTTTGGGGAAGAAGAGAAAATTTACATTAAAAAATGACATCTGAGCTGGTTTTTAAAAGATGAATAAGAGTTCAGTAAGTGAAAAAGAAGGAAAAGGGCAGATGATGGCACAGACAAAAGCACAAATTGTGGTTTGGTGTTTAGTGCTGCTAGAGGAGAGGAAGATGATGGTGGAGAAAACTGATGAATCCTGATATAGGATGCAAAAGGGTACACATGCACTCCTTTGTCGCTATTTCCAAATTCTCCACATAAAAATTTCTGAATAGGTATCATGTGTTTTCCTTGAAGGCCAATTGGTTTCTGAAGGTATCTGAACATGAGAGGGACATCACAGAAAAGCCACTGATCTCGTTGGACCCACAGAAGGGCCACTTGAAAGTCATCGCCATTTGAGTGATGGCATTCACTGAGCCCCACAGGTAGGATGCTGGCTCTAACAGAGCACAGAGCTGGTGAGGTGTCCTCACAGAGAGCAGAAGAGCAGTGCAGATGGCTCTAGTTCATAAGCAGCCGTGGCCCATGGCGCACAGGAAGGATATCCCATGGTTCCAAAAAGAGACAGGAAGAGGAACTGAGCAGCTTACCCTCCCAAGGGAATAGTGTGGTCCTCTTCCGAGCCATATTATGTGTTTCGAACCCATACCACAAGGGAGACATAATAACTGTTCTGTAAAGGGTCATTAAATAAAAGAGAAGGAAAATGAAAATTATCATAGATTATGAACTAGAACATGTGGCCTTTGACACATGTTCTAGTTCATAAGCCATCTGCCAGAGGCCCAGGGGCAATTGTGGAAGAACAGTAAATATCCAAAAAGGAAAAGCTTCAAAGGAAGGTGTACACTGGGTGTGGAGGCGTGATCCACCCTGATAACTACAATTATGCCAAATTTCCCTGTTTTCCATAACAGAGAGGGTCACAAAGGGCAGTATATTCCTGGATCCCATCTACTGAATCCAAGTACAGCAAACATTGAGATTTGGGTGAAATTTGCCATTGTGTACGTGCCCAAAGGAAGGTAGAGAGAGATTTATAAACCAAATGGCATTCAATGCTTATAGTATTAAATTGTTTGATATCTTTTTTAAAAAAATATATTTTTGTGCACCCCTCTTCACCTCTGCCATCACCATGAGAAGAGTTTTTTCCAGATATCTACTGCACCTTGACAGGGGGCAGACCTTAGCTGAGCTCTCAGCAAGGAGTCAAGCCCAGCTAGAGCTGTGACAGGAAGTAGAACTGCCCGGCTTGTCCCAGTCTAGCCCTGCCAACACACAGACACACTCTAGCTACCTGAGGAGTAAAGATTTTGTGGCACGCTATCGAGGTGTGGTAACCACTTGCTGCCCTGGCAGTGGCTGGCTGGCACCCCTGAGTATTCACATGTTCTCAGCCATCACTCCCACAGGAATCCTGTCCTTGAGTCAGCGTTTGGAGCTGAGGGTAAGTCTAGATGCTCCACAGTGACAGGGGCACTGAAAACAGTAGTGACCTGTCAAACTTTTTGACAGTGGCAGGTGGCATGAGACCAGCAATGCTTTCTAGTACTCTTCATGCTGAAGGTGGACTGAAGACCCCCTTTGTAGATATCAAAGCTTTTCCTGATAAAAAGGTGAAACTTTACAGAATTAGCATCTCAGACCCTTACTCTGCCAGACTTAAGACCCACATTTGTCAGAAAGCCCTTCCTGCACGGTGTCAGAAATGACAATCCCAGGGAAGTATGGCACGCACTATAAACATCGTTTGTTCAAACATGATATAAAATAAAAGTAAAAGGTTAGTTCTTAGATAAACTTCATTCAGAAATCATAACTTTATTAGAAAGATATAAAAGGATAATAGCATGTAATTAAAAAGCCTTCTTGAAAGCATACCTATGAAAAGGCAATTATATCACATAATATGTCCATATACTAGTAAACCTGGCACTTGCTACAAAAGCAAACAGGAATGAACATTGGCAGCCCAGATTTTGGATGGTTCCATCCCCATTTGGTGCCACCACTGACTCTGGATCGAGGCAAATGGAACTAAAGATGAGAGCAGAGAGTCAGGCTATCAGTCTACTGAGGGTGATGGAGGTAAGAACAGGATCCAAGTGAGAACCAAGTCTCCATCTTTTCTCTTGCTCTTGTAGCCCTACAGGGAGCTTCCGTCCAGAACCCAGGGGTTCACTTCAGTCTGGGTCTACCATTTGCCTATGTAAAAAAAAAAAAAGGAATACCACAGGCTGATGTTCATGCCATTCCCTGCTTCTAAGAACTCTCATTTCACATGTGTTTTTTTTTAATAATAAGGAAGATGACACCTGCCCTCAAACAAGAATGTCACTTAGTAGACATAAATGCACACAGTAAAATGCCGGAGCAGACAGTGGAAGACCTCTGAGCTGCTTAGACCAAGAGGACTTATCGCCCAGACAGTTTTGGAATCTCTACCTTCTGTGGAAACAGAATCATTTTATAAAATGCTTTCTATGTTTTGGGGACAACCATTATAGTGATACAATGTTACTCTGAAGGATGTCCTGTATTCACTTACCCTACAAGACTACTTTAAAAGAATCCATGAAAAATCACTGCTTAAGGAATGGTCTGGTCTTTGGCTAAGGAGAGATCATGTGTTGCTTTAATAAAGACCTGAAGAAAAATCTACATTAATTCAGAATACATGCCTGAAACACTGAAGAGAAATTCTATGAAAATAGTAAATGTTCTTCCTGTGTTTAGTCAATTTTAATTACCAATTGTTTTTGCATATTTTTTCAATTGTTTCCTTCCAAAGGCTAAAAATTTGTCTTGTATTTTACAGACAGTATTTTAACACTGTTGCCTGTCACATGCACAGGCAAATTATTTAAAAGCTGCAATGTTTAAATTAAAATAAAACGTATGCTTACAGTAGTAAATATTCCTGGATTAATAGAGTTGCCGCAGATAGACTCCAAAAATTGACTGAAGTCTGTGATATTAGAACGACAGAAAATTTATCTAGTTTTAGCAAATGTCAAATCAGCAGCTATTGCTTTTAAGATTAATAAAAGATATAATGGTTTCCAGATAGCCTCTAAATAGAGATTACTATGAATGGAGAAGTGATTTACCAACAGTCACCACAATGAGATTTCTTTAAAGGTTACAATCATCAGTTATTTAGCTGAAACACTGCCAAGAATGGCTGGTCATTTCCTGAATAATGCATTATATTCATTGTATATTTGATCTGTATTATAACAATACAGATATTTCTAAAATAATGAAAAAAATTATCTGTTACCTTCCGATGGCCTAACATATCATTTCCATGAAGTAATTGACTCAGGACATATTACACGCTGTCACCTGAGTGTTCTTTCTGCAAGCACACCTTGTAAATAATCTATACACAATGGGCATCACAAAACAAACTCATCAACCTTTATAGACTTTTAAGAAAAAATGTGATTAAACACAGGGCAGTGTAAAGGACTTTTCTGAAGCAGTAAATTAAAATGATTAAATTTCTATATAGTTGTAGGAGACAAATCTAAACTTAAGCTTTGAAATGTAATTATTAAGATGAACAACTCATCACATTTTTTTAAATGTTGCCTAGAATGTATAAGTACTTTCATATAAATTTCCAAATGCCTTTAGTTTTACTCAAGAGAGGACTTGGAGAAGCACAAAGTACAATGTCTATTGTTTTATTGTTGGATTATGAACTGTACTCTGCATGATGCTACAGGCTATTTATATAAGCTTGTTTATCCACATGAACCTCTTCAAGGGCACAATGTAGAAGACCTTAATAAATTAAAACAAATTTCTTTGATGTTGTTGTTTCATGAATGTTTGATCAGTATGAGTAGCAGGTTTGCATCGAAGAACCAGAGTAAAGCAATAAAATATACATACACTGTGCAGCAGAGCCAGTTTACAGAAAGTGGCCATTGCATTCATAGCAACTTTCAAGAATCAGGATAAACAGTCTAGAGTCACTGTGCTCACAGCTTCAGTTCTAGCCTATGGTCAGGTTACTAATAGTGGGAGCAAACACGTAGCAACTGAAATCTCCTTCCAGGCTCCTAAATATCCATCCAAACTCCTTGTTTTTCTCACTGACACCACCATGGCCTTCCACAGACTGAAATCCATGAGAGCAGAGACCATAGTTTCTTCTTTTTTTCCACCTTTATCATGATGATTAGTGATGGAATTGGGTTGACCGAAGTCCACAAAGTAAAAATGAATTATCAGTCACACTCCAAAACTGAGAGAAGTCTCACTTTTAATGTTTGATGATGGTGGTACAAATCAAGTATCATAGAAATGAATATGATATGACAGACAGAGCACTAGTGCTCACTTCGGCAGCACGTAAACTAAAATTGGAACACTACAGAGAAGATTAGCATGGCCCCTGCGCAAGTATGACATGCAAATTCAAGAAAGAGCCCTAGACAAAAAGGCAAAAACAAACAAAGAAACTCAAAACAGACAAACCAACAAACCAACAGGATTCCAGTGTTAGGTCTGCGGGCACTTAACTGTACACTCTTTCTACATCATTTCCCTCACCTGTAAAACAAAGGCCTAGAGTTCTATATGATCTATAACTCTGTATCTCTAAAAGGCCATGATTCTAAGAGTAACAGAAGAATGGACAGACAAGGGAACCATTAGATTTTTCTACTTTGGTAGCCACTACTACCAGGAAAAACCTATAAAATGCAAACTCATTCAAAGAAAAATGGAAATAAAAGAAAAGGTGATTATCCTAAACAACATAATACAAGTCCAGTCCCTCAAGCAACATATTTAAAATTTAATAACATTTTGCACATTGTGTGATTTATAACCTTTTGCACTTATCCCTCCCTTCCATCTTGCATGATTTGGAATAAATATGAAGACAGCCTATTGAACAAGCTCTTATGTGTATAATAAATATTTACTAGGATTATATTCACATCTTTAGCCTGGGAAAATTCCCTACTACACCAGCCTCTGGGACAAGGACTGGTGAATGACCAAGTTGACACCTGTACTCTTAAGGGTGGACAGGCTGTAAAAGGACAGCAGAAATGTGCCTTGGTTTGTTTGTGCCCTTCTGCCTTAATAAACCCATATCTTGCCCTTAAAAGCTACCTCACTGTAAGTTCTTTTCAACCTTAGAATGTCAGTCTTACACTCTCGAGCCAGAGTCTTATGGGCCAAATCCAGTGGCAGCTGCCTGCTTTGTAAGCACAGTTTTATTAGGACTCATCCACACCCCGTTGTTTAACATATTGTCTATGGCTGATTTCACGCTGCAATGTCAGAGTTGAGTTAACCCCCAAAGTCTAAAATATTTACTATATGGCCCTTTACAGAGAATGTTTGCCAACCCCTACTCCAGAGGAAAATAACTTGTTACAATTTAAATTCTAATTTTCTTTCTCTCATAAACATAAAAACACAAACCCTAAGTAGCAATAAGCAAGATATGAACTTGTTGACACATGCACATACTTATATGTGATCACACCTTTGGGCACAGATCTTAAACAGTAACTGCTTTTGACTTCTCATTTTAATTTGAATCCTGTAAGGGTTACAACTCCCCACTAGTACCCTTTCCGACAATAGCCAAAAATATGGGCCCTTCTCTGAAGGCAGCTGTCAAGGTAAAATCACATAACCGAAGAACTTAGTTCCTCCTGTGGCAGACATTGCCTGAAATTCTGCAGAATGTCCAGTTCTATTCTACACTCATCAAGGGTCTAGGTACAAGGGTAGAGCAAAAGAAACCAGCAGATCCCTCAAGTCCTGTTCTTTGAATAACACACCCTTGAAGTTAGGAAATCAATGACCAATACCATGTATTGATTGTTAAACATATGCATTCATATTAAAATGCTAGAAGTGCCATAAATTATTAAGAGTTACAGGAACATGCAAGGAAATACCTCCCTTAATTATCAGAGTGGAAAAGGCCTAAAATTTTTAAATAACTTCAGGTTAACTGCACCATGTATTTGGAGGACACATATATGCTTATACTTGCATCTTCTAGACTACATGTATAGGTATTTGAAACATTAATACATAGATTGATTTTTTTTATCAGTCAATAAAATCACTGTTCAAAATACCTGCTACAGCTGAACTCTACACTTTCCTTCCTCTCTTTGGTTACTAAAGACTGAAAATATTAGCTCTACCCATTAGCAAATATTCTCATACTCCACCCATCAATAAAAATTTGCATGTATTAGCATAACTTAAATTAAACCCATGAAGCACTTTAATGTAAGTCATTTCATTCTCATTTCTCTGAAACCTTATACATGATAGAATATTTAGGCTCACAGATTTTTTGAAAAGAAAACAGAAAATAGAAGTCCATTTCACCTTCACATAGTGTCTTTCTCATGCAGAGTTCATATTTCCACATTTGTATCCCTTTGAAAGATTTGATACACAGGAAAAGAAGAAAGGATGATGGTAAACATTTCATTTTAAGGACACCTGCAGGCCACCATCTTCCACAGTGAACAGAGGCTTAAAACTTACCTTTTACTGATGTGTTTGGTGGAGGGCCTTCCATTCGCAAGTTCCACGGAGGGTCTCCCTGGTTAGCAAAGTCCCTCATTTTCAGATAGCTGATGGTAAGTCGAATGATGGATGCCTTGTCAAGCTGGCTTGTGATGGCTGCAGGAAGAGGCAACAACTTGGCCAATTCATAGAATTCAAAATTTTCTTTGCCCCGACGGGAGCGAGCAGCATCTCGGGATTTCTCTTTTCTCAATGCTTGTAAACTGAAATCAAAGAAGTGAAAAAGTGTTGTTCAGATCATATGATTCTCTCATCAGATAGAAACTGCTTTATTTTTATTTCCTCTTTTCCCAACAAAAAGCTACCAAAATCTCCTTCAAAATTCCAGGGACCATGGTAAAATGAGTTCCAGACAATGTCCACTAAAACCACAAATTCTACCTCTGGACTTATATGCCATAAACTCAAGTGCAATGAGTAAATGTAGCGTGATTGTTATGATTTTTTCCCCCAGTTTACCATGCATTAACATACATTCATTGTTTCTAAGACATAACCATAAGATTTATAGATGATGTTCGATATTTTCAGCTACAACCAGTTTATTAAAATATTAGGCTTATATTTACATGTCTGTTCTCAAGCTAAGTCTTAAGAGCCCACTGGGATCTTAAGCCATCAAAAGAACACATTTAAAATTTTTTATTTCAATTATTATCTCAGGAAAAAATGGTAAATACAAACAAAATTCACAGAATCAACAAATAAGACAATGATGCTTCCACCCCTCGGTAACGATCAAGACTTTCAGTGAGGTAAAGAAAATACCCTATTAAAGATGAAGATTTCAATGTGACTATAAGCATGCTGGTAATTAGTTGATAAGGAAATACTTTCATACTTTTATCAATGGACATACACTAATGACTGGTTAGAGTCTCTAAAATACTAGAGGATAAAATACATTGCCCAGAAAAGTCAAACTTTAAGATAATATAAATTTAATGTTGAAAGATAAAGCTCTGTGGGTTATTAAAATTTATAAACATTATAGACATATTACTTCACAGAAGAGGCAACAGGTGGAAGCCAGCATTTTTCTTTAACTATTCATGTGCATTCCTGTTTGAAGTTTGCTCACATTGCTGAGGGCAGAATTTGGCACAACTGAAGTTGCCTGTGAGCATCTGATAGAAAAATTCCACCTACTCTGAGTTGCTCTGTTTTGTGTCTGACAAATTCAAAGTCAGACGCTGGTGATAGGTAATTGGGTAATATTTATAGTTTCTAGGTACTATATTAATATCATTTGTAAGTATCCATTTTACTGAACTCTGAAGGCATTTTAAATCTTTGAAAGTAGCATTCCGGCTTCCCATTAGAATAGCATGAAACAGAAACAAGGAAGGAGATAAAGCCAGAGGAATAGATCAAAATGAGTTCAAAGTGTGGCTCCAGTCTCTTGGTATAATATGGACAGTAACATTCTGTATCCTGTCATAGCATACCTAATACATTCATGGTATAATCACTGTACTTACTGCAAACACTCAAAATATCTATGTAATTTAAGTAATGCCATAATGTTATCATCAAATATTTGCTAGACTAATACCCCAACCAGTTTGATGTTTACTCTATAACAAAATATTCCACAATAGCTAACTAATGTATTTCTCAGAACTAGACAAGCTACTACTATCATTTTTAAAGTTACAGCAGTGTCAGATAACAACCCTTTGCCTCTTGATAACTCAGGTGATAACCTCAGGCAGAAATATTCCTAATTTACAAGGAAAAGACATGTGATGCTACTTATTTCCCAATCTCTTATTTGGCCTCCATTCAATTCTATAAATGATCAATTTTGGCTTGTTGAAAATGATGGCAATAAAGTGAGAGAAGCCTTAAAATCTGACAATGTATAACCAGGATCCAGGTTAACATCTTAATATAGAAGAATGATTCATATCCCTCCCTTTCTATAATACAAGCAATCCATCTAACACCATTTAAGTCACCTGTGCCAAAAGAACTCTCTTTTCCCATGTTTTCTCTACCACTTGTAGAGTACAATAGTTCAAGTTCAGTGCTCTGCCCTCTTTGTGTTCTTATAATCAACTACTACTCCAGAAGGTGGGCTGAACTTACAATTTTTTTTTGGTCCAGTAAGTGACTATGACAGAGCTCTAGAGCAGAGGTTACAAACTCGAGGGCATGCAGGGTTACGACAGGGAATATGAATGCTTGGGGAGGTCTGACGGTGACTGTGGTAGCCGGACGACAGCAATCCAAGCAAAGGAACGGCACACACGTTCAGCCAACTGCAGCCTTGGATGAAGGCACAACTGTTGTTGCCACATTTCTAGTTTTTCTATTTTTAGAGAACAAAAACTGAATTTTTACATGGCATTTCTAATTTTATGTTATGTTGTAATTTTATGTTAGCTAATTAAAGTTTTAAAAATTATACAAACCCATTATAATATGTCATTTAGTCAATAATGGAGCAGGAACTCATTTTACAATTGGGTAATAATTTTGGAGACCACTTTTGAAGGTAGTTTTAATGGATGATATATGTAACTTTCCTTTATACGTGTCACTCAAATGATCACAAATGGACTTATTTGTTACCTACCATATTTTTTGGACTATAAGATGCACTCCCCCCCCCCCAATAAATTTGGGAGGAATAATGGTTGTTAATGCCGCTATTGAGTTCTGTTTACATTTACATTGGTGAAATATTATGTTATTTATGTTATTAAATGTTTTCCCACATTTTTTGCTTCAAACATTTTTTTCCTATTTTCCTCCCCTAAAACCTAGGTGCATCTTAAGATCTGAAAAATATGGTAATTAATATTACTAATATCCATGCTAGGAATTTTGCTATACAACTGAAGCAACTAAGGATTAGGCAAT